CTGGGGAGGGGAGAGGGCTGGAGGTTGAACATCACCAATGCCAGTGATTCAATCAACCATGCCTATGTAATAAAACTTATATAAAAATCCAAAAGGATGGGGTTCTGAGAGCTTCCAGATTGGTGAAGAAGAACATATCCATATGCTGGGAGGGCTCACCCCAAACTCCAAAGGGACAGAAACTCCTGCACTCAGGACCCTTCCGGACTTCACTCTATGTATCTCTTCATCTGACTGTTCATTTCCACCCTTTAAAATCCTTTGTAATAAATAAGTAATCTAGTAAGTAAACGGTTTTTTTCCTGAGTTCTAGTATTTAATCAAATCTAAGTAGGAACCTCCTATTTATAGCCAGAGGTCAGAAGTACAGGTGACAACCTGAATTTGAAAGTGGCATCTGTTGTGGGGGGAAGGCACTTTCGTGGGACTGACCCTAACCTGTGGTATCTGATGCTGTCTCCAGGGAGCTCACGTTAAAATGGAGTTAAAGTGTGGAACACGCAACTGGTGTCACAGAATCACTTGGTGTGAAGTACCGTAACTGGGAGTGGAGGGGGCATACAGCGGGCATCTTCCATCTCTAATGGGATGTACTCTGAAAACCAGGCTAAGATAATTGAAAACTGGATTCAGATAATAAAACAAACATGGATGGAGAAGATACATGATTAAATAAAATAGCTTCATGAATATGAGGGTCCAAGAAAGGCAGCAGTATTATCTTATTTCATATAAAATGTGATCAATAAATACATGGGTAAGAAGGCATATAATTCTTTCATCCTTTTGGTTTTCTCACTGGAAATTAAAGACTCGTCATCTACACATGTGATTATATGCTTTACGAATCACTTCACTTCTCCTAGAACACAGTTTAATGGACTTTGGTATAAAGTATTTGTTTTAATTCTTTCAAAAATATAATTAAGAACCATATTAAATAAACATTTTCTTTTTATTTATTTATTTTTAATTTGGGAGAGTGTGCATGTGAGAGCAAGGGAGAGGGCCAAAGGGAAAGAGAGAAAGAATCTCAAGTAGTCTCCAAGCTCAGCATGGAGCCTGATATGGGGCTTGATCCCATGACTCTGGGATTATGACTTGAGCAGAAATCAAGAGTTGGCCATTTAACCACCTAAGCCACTCAAGAGCCCCTCCTTTTGATTTCTAAGGTAATCTTTCCCTTTTAGTTTTATGGCAATGACAGCTGGTTCTGAAAATTGTAAACATATAATCAGTCTTGTGAAAACAAATACCATTACCTCAAAATCTCTTTATAATAAAATATTATAAAGACCAAGCTTAGTTTGGATTATAAAAGAACAAATAAATTTAGGTAAATGTCTGGAATTTTGTTATAACAAGACATGACATCTGTTTCTAATTGGCTAACAAGAAAAGACCAACACAACAACAAAGTATGCAAATAAGATATGTCTGTGCCTAAAATAAGTCAAGGTCAAGGTCAAGGAAATGAGATCAGGCACTTAAAAATTAAGATGTTTTCCATAGTTGAGTTTAATGACAATTTGGGCCTGTTGAAGAATCATGTAGAACTAGTATCCTCCTCTCGTAGGGTAGTGGGAAGTGGTCATGAGAATCAGCAACAAACTTAAGAGGTGACAGCAGCTTTAGACACAAAGATTTAATTCCCTAGGCCTCTGGGACCCTCAACCACTTCCCTGGAGTCCTGGGACCCATTCTGCCTCCAGGTCCTCGGTGCCGCTTCCTCTCCAATGTGGCTACAGAAGAACTACATGACCTAGTATCTAACAACCCCACCTTCCTCCCCAGGGGTGATCTCACCATTACACTCTCAACCATCAAGTTTTGTGTAAATACTTGTAAAGAAAAAAACCCAAAAGATAAAAGAATGGGAGTAGTACAGAATTAAGAGGTTTCCAAAGATCAAAGAAAAGGTGATCCATAACTGTATCTTTTCTTTTGACTTTGTAGTCTGAGATTTTAGTCACTCCTTTCTTTGTAGGTCTGGGGTAAAGAGGCTCACTTCCCCTCCAAGGGAAATAAAGTGGCAGTTGCCTCTAGGACTCTTCCTCAGGTCCTCCCATAAGCAGGTTTTCTAAGTCTGTGATGCAAAGTTTCAGTACACACACACACACACACACACACACACACACACACACACACTCCCACCCAGAAATCATCTATTCTAGTACCTTCATTCACACTGGAGAAAACTGAGACACAGGTCATCAGAGATCCATTAATGCAGCTTTGGCAGAATCATGACCAGACCTGACATCTCTCAATTCCCACAGCAGAGTTCATTCCATTCCAACACTCTGACAAATCATTCTTTCAAGTCCTCTGTATGAGTGACAACAGCTGCTTGCTGCATCGATCTTTTCTATTAATAATCTCAAGTGGGATGGATTCAAGTTTCCCCCCTCAGAACCCCAACATCAGAGAAAGCTGACAGAGTGCAAAAAAGGGGGAGCCAGATAAGCTGGGTGATCAAGGTCTATGTGCCTGTTTGTCTCTCTGTTCTCTTAACCTCCCCATATGAAGACTTATTTGTGCTCATTTCAAGAGGCAGAATAGCTGTTGTCATCCCCACCCCATCTGATCTCCCCAACTAGGCTCAGTTGGAAAATGGATGGCTGTCCACGCACAGAACATGGCTTGATCTTCAAGCTGCAGAAGGTCGTTTGAGAAGTTCACATTTCTTTGGTAGATACTTGTAAACAAACCATTAAAATCAGCATTTCTAGAAACAAAAATAATCTTATCAAAGTAATATATTTTAAGACACCAAAACTTGGCTAAGAAGTGTCTTTAATAATCAACCTCATAGGTCAATAAAGAGCCACAAATACACAATTTACTATTACCTGACAACTGTGAAATTTAAAGAAATGTTTAATGTTACTAGTTCCTTAGTACTGGCTCTACACAGAAATAGACATGGATCTAAAAAGAATTAATCAATTATAACCAAAGAGGTGGGGTAGGTCTAGGTATGAGCAGGGAATGCTAGAAAGGTACATGATATAAAGGACCAGCTAATCCATAAATTAAAAAACAAAACAAACAAAACAAAACAAAACAAAACCCCACCAAAATAAAACCAAATTTACTCAGCCAACTCCTTGGATCTTATCTTCCTCTTTTGGATGAGAAGACCCAGGGTGAGAATGCTGGCTAACAATGAATGTGTTTCACATTCTCCTTGGGACTCAGAATAAACTCTTGGAAAAAGGAATACACACCATGACTCAAGTCCCTTTTTTTATTCCTCATCCTCAACTTCAGAAACTAGAAAACTTCATAAATGGTCCACTGAGTTCAGTAAAGCTAACGTCTTCCTCTCAGAAGCATCAAATGTCAAGGGTACAAGACAGAAGCATAGTATCTAATCTCATTGGAGTGCCACACTTTCGTCTGCTACATAAGAATAATTTAAGCCACAAACGAGGAACAGAAAAGTGGATTCAGATTTTTAAGGTAAACCTAACTAGTTAAAAGTAAATACGATGGACTAGGAAAGGGGGAGCAATATGGTACCGGGGATAGGACAAGGTTTAATGTTAATCAGAAATATGACATAAGGGTGTTAACCACGGTTTACACCCTAACACTGTAACTCATTCTTGGGTATGCAGGTTAATAGGAAATGTACAGGCTCAAGAGTAGAAACTACCACATTACCCCATTTTAGGTAGAGACCTAAAATACAGATAGCTAAATAGGGATGAAATTCCCTCCATGTAAGAACTTGGGTAAAAATGCTATTTATCAGAGTAAGAGTATGTTAAACTGCTCGCTCTTCAAAGACAGAAGTCATGGCAACCATGTCCCTTTGAGGGGAAGAACCAGTGCCCCGAGCCATCTAGAGCCTGGGTTGCATTTAAGAAGAGGCCCTTCTTCAGAGCCTGGAGCCTGCTTTGGATTCTGTGTCTCCTTCTCTCTCTGCTCCTCTTCGTCTCATGCTCTGTCTCTGTCTCTCTCAAAAATATTAAAAATTAAAAAAAAAAAAAAAGAGGGGCCCTTCTGTAGAAAGTCAATCTGAGAAATTTATACTAGCGGTTCTACCACTAGCTGGGTGACCTTGGGAAAGGTACTTACATTAGAGTTTTAGTTCCTCATTTCTGAAATAGAAATTACTTTACCTATCTCATGGGGTTACTGTAAATATAAGATAATTTATAAGAAAGTACCGAATCCAAACCTTTTTATTGAGTGTCTTTTGTTATTACTGTCTATAAAGACAATTATAGTTGTTACCACTATAGCAGAAGATGACAGGGTTAATCTTTTAAGATTTCTTGTTACTTTTTTGTTTCAAAGAACTGCCATGATAAAGACTGTGACCAAAGTCATTTATTTTAAATTGAATGTTATATTTATTACAGACCTAAAGCTGCTCATTAGATCACACAAATGTGCACACAAACTATTAAGAATGTGTGTCTTTGTTTTCATATGGCAACACTTCTGTGTGCTCCTTTCTGGAAAGGGTATTCCCATCAGTTATAAACTGCTGCTCCAAATGTGATAATTTAGATCAAGGTCATTACCAACCCAGATGACCAAACCTGAAAAATATCGTTCTCATGTCAGAGACCTTGAAGAAAGAATGCTCTAAGGGGATTAAAATACCTTGCAAAGAATTACAACATGAACAGCTCAAGAAATCTTAATTTGTAAAAGGTCACAGAGTTACAAAAAACATTGCTCATTTCAGCTAATTAAATGAAATTTTAGTTAAACGGCACCTTTAAATATTGGTATTGCAGCTGCGAGTGCATTTAAATAGCATTTACGCAGATATAATTAGCACAATTAAACATGGGTAGAAGTGGAAACACCATTCTTAATTATATTGATATAATCAGTTTTATTAATGCTTTATAGCAACAGAAGTGACATCTGACAGTAGCACACAATTCATGACTGAACCTAATATTAAGCATTTTAGCATATTAAGGAATCCAAAGCCAGGTAAATGGGGAAAGAAAAGTCAAATGATGCGTGCCTACCTGTGACAATACCATAGTTGGGAGGTTCAAGAATTACTCCGTAAAATTGGATGATGTTTCTGTGACTGAGGACACTGAGTATTTCTGCCTGTACAAAAATCAAATACAAAGTTACATTAAATTTCACACTTACAAAAGTCTCATAAAATAGGTTTCCTATTCAATTTCCTTTAACATACATTTGCAAAGATATGTGTGCTCAACAAGTATAGGATGCTGATAGAACTCTGTCTTTAGCAGCATTCTTAAAAGAATGTTAATGTTAAGAATTAAAAAAAAATTTTAATGTTTATTTTCTGAGAAAGAGAGACAGAGCGTAAGTGGGGAGGAGCAGAGAGACAGGGAGACACAGAATCTGAAAGCAGTGGGGCTCAAACTCACAAGCCGTGAGATCATGCAGGACCTGAGCTGAAGTTGGACGCTTAACCAATTGAGCCACCCAGGTGCCCAAGTTTAAGAATTTCTGGGGGTACCTGGGTAGCTCAGTCGGTTAAGCATCCGACTTCGGCTCAAGTCATGATCTTATGGTTTGCGGGTTCAAGCCCCGCGTCAGGCTCTCTGCTGACAGGTGGCTCAGAACCTGGAGCCTGCTTCAATTCTGTGTCTCCCTCTCTCTGCTCATGCTGTCTCTCTCAGAAATAAATTTTTAAAAAACATTTAAAAAAAGAATTTCTATCGAAACTTTCTAAAAATGTAAAAAGGAAATGGGGTTGAAGTGGCAACAACAGAGCTGCTTCCTAGCAGGCCGGCATAGCTGGTAGTGGAGGAGGAGGAGGGGGAGGAGGGGAGATACCATGTTTATTTACAGAAAGCCCTCTTCCTAATAGTTGAATGGATGTTTTCTGCATCATGTCTTCTGGGAGAGTCAAGACTGAACTTCTATTGGTTGGGTGAAGAGTCATGACAAAATTAAGGAAGAATTTCTAAACTATTACTGAAATAGATTCAGGTAATACCTGCTTATATTATTTAATCATTCAATTATATTGTTGCTCTTGTGCCACATGCAGCAAGGTGCTGTCAAGGAAGTTAAGGGTGAATTCCTGACCTTCCAACAGTGATCTGATAGGGAAGCCATACTATACTAGTAAACTGTACTGCAGAGTGACATCATAAAAAAATAAATTTTATTTATTAAACTTAATTTTTTTTAACAAAAAACAGAGCTACCACACTGTGTATCTGCTAATGTCTGTAGAAAGACATTCTCTAAATTAACTAACTTGCATGTAGTTACCAGTTTTATGGAGACAAAACATTGCTGATCAGGAATTATAAATACAGTTAGATACAAAATCACTTAAGTACAAAAAACATTTAATATTTTTTAAATGAAAAGCATGTTACTGGCAGTAAGTAAAGAGGAGACTTAAAATTCCCCACTTCAGAAGAGGTATCAAGAATGTAAGCAATTAAGGAAAAATGGACAAGGCTTGGTTAGAAAGAAGACTCCCCTTTGGGAATCTGCACAATGTGTTGTTTTTTTAATTTTCTTAAATGTTTTATTTATTTTTGAGAGAGACAGAGAGAGAGAGAGAGAGGGAGGGAGCGAGAGGCAGGCAGTGTGAGCAGGGGAGAGTCAGAGAGAGAGGGGGAAATGAGGGAGATACAGAATCCGAAGCAGGTTCTGGGCTCTGAGCTAGCTGTCAGCACAGAGCCCGACGCGGGGCTCGAACCCACAAACTGTGACATCATGACCTGAGCCGAAGTCGGCCGCCCAACCGACTGAGCCACCCAGGCGCCCCTGCACAATGTATTATTTGTTACAAATTTCTGTCATGGGATAAGAAATGAGATTTCATTACAGTCAGAACTAAGGCACAAAAGAGAAGTTTAAGGGTTGCCATGGGGTCAATATGGAATCAAGAGAACGGAAAATTATTATCAACTGGTTGAGACATTTATCAAGGTTTCTTTGACAATGTTTTTCTTTTAGTGATACAAGGGCTGAAGGGGACTATCAAAACATTTCTTTCACACTGAGTGCCTACTGTGTGCAGAGGACCTGTGTTCATCAAACAGCCTGCTTGCCATAGTTTAGTTTTCCAAATAGAAAGAAAACGCATTAATTGGGCAAGACAATTATTCATCTGTATGGCAATCCTATTTCTTATTAAGAAACAATAAATGGACTTTGTTGTTAAACAGAGTTCATGTGAATTTTGGAAAACAGAAGCCCCCTTGTTTTTTTTTTTAAGTTTATTTATTTATTTTGAGAGAGAGAGAGCCAGAGAAGTGTGGACAGGGGAGAGGTAGAGAGAGGAAGAGAAAGGGAGAATCCCAAGCAGGCTCTGTGCTCAGCACACAGAGCAATGTGGGGCCTGTTCTACAAAATTGAGATTATGACCTGAGCTGAAACCAAGAGTCAGACACTCAACCAAATGAACCACCCAGGTGCTCCTAAGCCCCCCTATTTTTAAGGCAGATCAACTCTTTGTGAGTGAAGCATTAGAATTCAATGTGACTAATGTGACTAACTAATGTGACATTTGGACTAGTATTTGTCAAAATAGGGAGTGTTTATCCTTTGGTATGTTTTAGTATATTCTTAGGGTATCTAAATTCTGTGGCCATCAAAAATGTTTATATCAAGGGGCTCCTGAGTGGCTCAGTGGATTGAGAATGTGACTCTTGATCTCAGGGTTGATAAGTCAAGCCCCACATTGAGTATAGAGATTACTTAAAAAAAAATGAAATCTTTACAAAACTGCTTTTATCAGGAAAGAATACAAGAATATTCTTAGGGGTGCCTATCTGGCTCATTCAGTAGAGCATGTTTTTATAGTTTATTGTCAACTTGGTTTCCATATAACACCCAGTGCTCATCCCAACTAGTGGCCTCTCCCATGCTCATCACCCCCCTTCCCCTCTCCCCCACCCCAATCAGCCCTCAGTTTGTTCTCAGTATTCAAGAATCTCTCATGGTTTGCCTCCCTCCCTCTCCCCCACTATTTTTTCCCCTTCTCCTCCCCCATGGTCCTTTGTTAAGTTTCTCCTGTTCCACTTATAAGTGAAAACATATGGCATCTGTCCTCTGCCAGTCAGTAGAGCATTTGACTCTTGATCTCAAGGTCTCTTAATCTCAGGGTCATGAGTTCAAGCCCTATGTTGGGTATAGAGCTTGCTTTTAAAAAAGAAAAAGTATATTCTAAATCCTTGGATGATACTTTATAATTCAGCACATGGAATTTTCAATGTTCCAACTAATTTTCATGTTTACATTTAAGATGTTGCCAAGTGATGCCTTGGAGAAATAGAATTTATCCTTTCAAGTGCTGGTAAGGATATACTGATGTTCAAATAACAGCCATTATCTTGTGTGCCACTATCATATTCATTTAAAAATTCTTTTAGTTACGAGGGGTGCCTGGGTGGCTCAGTCGGTTAAGCATCCAACTTCAGCTCAGGTCATGATCTCACAGTTCATGAGTTTGAGCCCTGTGTCAGGCTCTGTGCTGACAGCTCAGAGCCTGGAGCCCGCTATGGATTCTGTGTCTCTCTCTCTCTGCCCCTCCTTCATTTACACTGTCTTTCTCTCAAAAATAAATAAACATTTAAAAAAAATTTTTTAGTTATGAAAAACTAAATTCTTATGGTATAATTAGTAAGTGAAAGACATTTTCACAGAATAAGACTTAGATTCTAATTTAATAAACTAAGAATTTGATTTCACATCACGGAAACAACATACTACTTTAGAGTGTTAATACTAGTTCTATGTTAATGAGCTTATTTATAATCAACAGAGAAAGACTAAATAAATAAGTGGTATTTACAATAAAGGAAGATCAAGTAATATGTTGTTACAAATTCAAGCAAGTTCTAATAGAAACAACTGTGGGATTTGCCAAGTAAAACCTGTGCTGTAGCAGTCAGTATCTGATATCAAGTGGATGTATTCTGTAGATTTGCCTTTGTAGGAACCTGCTTGCCAACTGTTCTTTGGTAAAATTGTTGTAGTAACAAAAACTTCCCCTTAAATTGTTGTTTTCCAGATTTATATTGTGGAATACTCTAGCAAATAGACTGCCCATCAAAATAATGGATTAGTGGACTCAAAAAAGTTCAGTTATAAAAGAAACATAATAAGATTAAAAGCTTCTGCACAGCCAAGGAAACAACCCAGAAAATTAATAGGCAACCAATGGAATGGGAAAAGATAGTTGCAAATGACATATCAGATAAAGGGTTAATATCCAGAATCTATAAGGAACTCACCAAACTACACGCCCGAAAAACAAACAACCCAGTGAAGAAATGGGCAGAAGACATGAACAGACACTTCTCCAAAGAGGACATCCAGATGGCCAACAGACACATGAAACGATGCTCAGCATCCCTCCTCATCAGGGAAATACAAATCAAAACCACACTGAGATACCACCTCACGCCAGTCAGAGTGGCTAAAATGAGCAAATCAGAGAACTCTAGATGCTGGCGAGGATGTGGAGAAACGGGCACCCTCCTACACTGTTGGTGGGAATGTAAACTGGTACAGCCCCTCTGGAAAACAGTGTGGAGGTTCCTCAGGAAACTAACAATAGAACTCCCTTATGACCCAGCAATAGCACTGCTAGGAATTTACCCAAGGGATACAGAAATGCTGAGGCATAGGAGCACATGTACCCCAATGTTCATAGCAGCACTCTCCACAATAGCTAAAACATGGAAAGAGCCTAAGTGTCCATCAACAGATGAATGGATCAAGAAGATGTGGTTTATCTATACCATGGAATACTACATGGCAATGAGAAACAATGAAATCTGGCCATGTGTAGCAACATGGATGGACCTTGAGGGTGTTATGCTGAGCGAAATAAGTCAGGCAGAGAAGGACAAATATCATATGTTTGCACGTATAGGAGGATTAGGAGGAACTTGACGGAGGAACAAGGGGGAGAAGAAGGGCGGAAATGGTGGGGGAAAGGGAGAGAGGCAAACCATGAGAGACTCTTGAATGCTGACAAAAACTGAGGACTGATGGATGTGGGGGGGAGGGGGGGATGGGCATGGAGGAGGGCACTTTGGGGATGAGCACTGAGTGTTATGCAGAAACTAATTTGACAATAAACTATTTGTAAAAAAAAT